TGTTTGGGACATGGCAACGAGCACTGTCATGCAATACGATAAGGAGATTGTTGTGCAATAAATGTGGACGTTTGTGCCGCAAAGCTGGACGCAGATGGTGATGTAGAAATCGGCAATAGTAATCTGCACTGACAGTTTGTCCTTCAGGTACAGCATGTGTAAGAATCACACATCCCAGTCATATGCCATAATCAGCATGACCTTCACCTGACTGGGTTCCTGTTGAAATTTCTGTGGATGTGGCGAACCTTGGTGATGCTATTCATTTGATTGACGCTTTAATTCAGGCGCATAGGCTCATGCCCATGTCTCATCAATGGCGACAATCCGCTGCAGAAATGAGTTTCCTCCATTGAGGTATCTCTCCAAGTGGGTACCAGCCAGTCCATACCGGTGCCATTTCTGTACTTTGGTTAGTCGATGTGCAACCCAGCGGAAAGCAATGCTCCTCATGTTGAGAGATTTCTTCATTATGTGCCACACCGTTTGATGACTCGGACCAACCTCTAAGGATAATTCTCGGACAGTCCATCGGCGGTCTATGGTAAGAAAACTGCTTAGGATATCAATCCACTCTTGAGGAATGGAGGGCCAATCTGTGCGTTGCAAATCCATAGTCTCAATCCGACCCAAACGAAATGCTTGAACCCATCGTACTGCTGTCCTATATGGTAAAGCATTTGTGCCACAGCCTTCCACTAATCCTCAATAGCATTCTGTTGCATTTTTGCCACGGGCAACCTCGATTTTAAGCCACAACCGCTGATCACATTTTGAAAACATGCTTTAGAGTAATGGAAACGAAACTCCTCACTTTAACGCCACACAATAACTACCCTTCTAAGCAGATCGACTGTTTTTTGCATTCTACACATCAACACATCGACAACAGCGCCACCTCATCGCTCCCATATCCTATTTGGGCATGCCCGCCCTTCAGCGAGTTTCATGGTTAAGTTGCCACTATTTAATTTAAAACCCCCGTATATATGCATGCACATGTGTATGTATGTCAGTATCGGTCTGTGTACACACACACATGCATATGTGTACACTCCTCAAAAAAAGAGGGAATAGTTCTACATCTTCCATTCTACTCGACCGACTGACGAAATTTAACTAGGGTTTTTCATATCTCGAAAGCACGACTTAGTATATGTAGTAGATTTATATATATCATTTTTTTATATTGATATTTTGACACAAAATCAGACATTTTCTGAAATAACATTATTTTTTTTTTTTTCCATATTTCGATTCTACTACTCAAATTATGCCAAACTGCCAAGTTTTGTAAAATTCGCACGAGTAGTTTTTAAAAAATTAGCTTTCAAAATTTTAGCTCCTCAATGTTAATTGAATTGAATATATATTTATTATTATCTCTTTTTTTATTAACCTCACTTGATTAATTCTTCAAGAATTTAAAATTTAGTTTTAATCCAAATATAATTCAGACCATCTTTTATGATTTATTTTTAAAATTTGTATTTTTAAGTATTTTTTATAAATTTTTCAAAACGATTTTTGTATTATAATCTATAAAGTTTTTAACATCATCTTAAAGTAGACATATTTCTAGCCACATCTGCAAAAAATCAAGAGTTTTTTATTCAAAATTTCCTAAGATGTGCGTGAATTTACATTTTGGTACGTTTTGAAATTTGGTGTATTTAATATAAACGATAACAAATGTGCGGTTTAAGCACTTTTGTTAAAATTATATGAAAGTAATGAATGTGACCTTTTTCCCTCTTGTGTACAATGAAAAAAAAATCTGATGTGTACACCACATGACTTCCTTGTACGGAATATTAAATTATATGCATTTTTTCTTGAATTTCATTTAAACTTATTGGATTGAATTAAATCTACTTCGCCGACAGCGAATAAACCACAATAGAATAAATGCATTCTTTAAAATTCACTCTAGTATTTGTTTACCATAGCGACACTCTGGCACTAGATTCACTTAACAGTATTATATTTCGTTCATATTATAACTCATATTGCACAAAATTTATAGCATTTAAAGAATAGAATTATCTAATCATTGCCACATGTTCTATTCAAATACTATAATAAATAATAAAGCTACAATGATGTATAAAAGAAATTAAGCAAATAAAACAAAAAAAGAAACAGTTTTTCACATACGATTGAGTATTTCTCATTCAATTAATTCAATTCTCACTTCGCGAGAAGGCAAAAATACATAAAAACTCAAAATATCTATATTAAAAATTACGAAGTAAATCTCAAACACTTATTTCCTCGAATAAATTCCAGAAAGGATTAAGCATGATTAAATTGGCAATAATAAATGAAGGCATTATCTTTGTTGTTGCGAAGCTAAGTTACTCTAGATTGGCAATAAATCCACTAGTCTGCTGTTTCAAATGTAAACAATCAATGGCCGCCATAAAAAAGGCTTAGCGGCACTTGAACAACTTTAAAATTGTTGATAATTCTAAAAATATTGCATACTGATTTACTAAAGGCATAAAAACCTTAACCGGAAGATAAAAACAACATATTTCAATCATTTTTAAAGCAAAAAATGTACAATTTACAAACATATAAAGAAACTGAGATCACTGAGCTGGGTAACAGAGTGGATATATATATAAATATATTTATATACGTTTGGTGCGGCCGATTGCAACCAAAATACGAGGTGCACATCTACATGTTATAGCAGTCCTATAGACAAAATTTCAACGTTCTGAGGCTACTCGTTTTTGAGTTATGCGAGATATGTACGTACATACATTCATACAGATGCCATGAAAAATTCTCTTCAGAATTAATTTTAAAGCAGTTTTATATATATATATATTTTTTTTTTTTTTTTTTTAGGAAACAAGTCTTTTATTCTAAACAAAAGAATAACGTACGTAAAGAATAACGTACTTACATACAGATGTCACGCAAAAACATAGTTAAATTGCATTCGATAGCGGTCAAAATGGATATTTTCGTTGAAATATGCTGCCTGAAACTTTTCGCAATTACAATACTTCCTTTTTACTTCGTACAAGGAAGTAAAAAAAAAAGAAAGGAAAATAGGTTGCTATAAATTAAGAAGTTCGCCAAGTGAATTAATTATTCTTAGCAAAAACTGAAAAAAATTCACCAGGATAAATTTTTAAATTTCTCCTTAAATTTTGCACCAAATTTTACAAAATTTAATATTTAGGTGTAATTTGAGTCGTAGAATCAAAATATAGAAAAACATTGCCATGTAATATCAGAAAAAGTATGATTTTTTTGTTAAAATACTTATATTAAAACAGTGCTATATATAAATCTAATATTTATCCTAAGTACACTTTCGAGACATGAAAAACACAATTTGGATTTTATCAATCGGCCCAGTAGAACGGGAGATATATAACTGACCCCCATTTTTTTGTGCAGTGTACATATATATATGCATACATGAACACATGAATCCACCCATACAGGCATACATACATTTCTGAATCCGGTCCCAATAACAGAAGAGTACTTTTTTGCCACTGCCAAAAAATTTCTAAAACCACTGTTTTTTTTATTTGAAGATTTTAACAGTCATTGGACATATCTTTTGGTTAACTGGCATACAGAAGAAGGCTGGATTCAAGATGCTTTTCTAGATTTGATGGTTTCAAACTCTCCATTGAAAGCATTACTGCAAATTAAACAAACAGATTGTTCATTGCCATTACATTTGCTGAAAGTAAAGCCAAACTGGAAGTGTATCTCATCAAATTATCTTTTGGAGATACAAGTTGCCTTTTTCTGGTCACTAGATCCTTCATGTAGAGACTTTGTAGCAATGCCAGCTGCATAATTACCTTTGTTACTCATGCTCAATCATTTATCCATTGGTAAAAAAATATTTTTTTTCACAAAATATAAATGGAATATCATTTCTCATTTTCAACTAACAAATTTAGTCAAGTAAAACAGTAAATTACAATTATGCATTGTTCTTGCAATTGTTGCAATGAAAGAGAAACAACAGACTATACTGGAAAAGCTTTCTTGTTACACTAGTCGTAGTAGTATCCGGCCTTATTCTCAGCAAGCTTATCTGGTACAAGACATTATGAACTGTCTTTTATGGACTGAATAGTTAGCTGCATATCTTGATTCGGAAATAACTTATATGACAAAACTGCAATGCAACACTTCATGATACACTTAGTGGGATTTTTCAATACGTAACTATTATTTACAGCCCAACTTAGTATTATGATTTAACAGTTGCCCTGCATAGAAAATGTAATATGTCAGACTGGAGATAATGATGGGATTACAATTAATGTTACTTAAAATTCAGGTATCTAAATTAAATTTTTGCGATCCCAGTATTTCACTTATCAACTACATTTGTGGTTATGACCCACAGTTTAAGAAACACTGTTTTAGCATCATAATATAATAATGATACAAAAATTCATTATACTACAAATCTTCTTAATTTATGATATAACGTTCTGAATTGGCTTATACTGTAATATTGAATTCTGTAAGATTTTGTGAAATTTGCACATAAGTGTTCATCACTTAATCTAATATTGAATTCTGTAAGATTTTGTGAAATTTGCACATAAGTGTTCATCACTTAATCTATTAACACCAAAAACCACTTTTAAACAGATATTTTATATTTAGTTATGTACAATAGCAAACAGTTTTCTTTCCAATTTGTGTATGGTCCCTACATATGATCTCCAAAGAAAGTGCATAAAAAAGGTTTTGTAATTTTTTACAAAATTGATATTTTTAAATTTAAAAATGCCAAACATGAATATTTACTTCATTTAAAACATTTCTGTGACTGGAAGCGTTTGTCTACAAACAATGGTTGCAAAAATTAAGCCCAGGTAAGGATTTTTGTGGACAGTATATAAAACAATTTTTAAAGTACTTCTTTGAAAAGGCATTTAATATACTTAAGACACTTCAGACAACAGACTTAATATACAAAAATATAACATTAGAATACATACTTCTAAATGATGCAGCAATTTAACTACTGATGGTTTTAATTCAGGGCATATCTTCATAACAGTTTCTGATAAGTCACTTACACAAGACAGCCTTGAAATTGTCCGTATTGCTTTGATTTCCATAACAAACTTTGCAATTATTTCATGTTTTGTGATATCTAGTACTGACTTATCCGTTTTTTCTACAATCATATCTATATGGAAGAAATATCACTCAGAATAAAAAAGCATAACAAAATTTAAATACATACTATATACTGTTGCACGTGTATGGGTTCATAACATATTGAATGCACATGTTTAATAAAAGGTTAATAAAATGTATTCTAATCAAAAGAAATATAAGAGAACGCTGGATCTTTCCTCAGAGATATTCGTACAATCTCACAATATCATGCAATATAATAAGTAGCTATACTTTAAACTACTAAAACATTAAATATAACGCAATCCACAGCACAGAGAAAGCTAATCCGATCAAAAATACTAACAGCAGTTAACTAAACAACCGAACTGCGATGTTCTCTCTCTCTCTGGCCTTTTATAGCTTTTTAAATCGGCCACATGAGATAGTCCTAGCAACTTCTGGAAAGCAAAAAGAGTAGATGGGTTACAGCTAGCGTTGCCACCTCTTGGTTGACAAAATCTGGAAAAAGAAAAAAAAAGTTTTTTTTCAGTCGGAACTGAAAAAACTCAATCTCGTTTAAAAGTATTTTTCGAGCTGCAGGAGCAAGCACACTCTCGCAAATACTTGTACATTTTGCTCTACCACAAGAAATCGTTTTTGGCGAAGATGAATCTGGAAATAGAGTGCTACAGTCAAAAGTCGTTAATTCGGACACCCATAATCCGGACCTCAAAGCTACAACCTTTCTGCGCATGCGTCGAGTTGACGCATGCGCGTAAGACCTTTACCGCTGCGAATTTGCGCGTGCGCAAAATACGTTTAGGAATGCGCGTTTAATGTATAACGGATGGGATAAGCTAAGCTAAAATTATCTAATTATCTATTTCAGTTAATGTTGCAGATTGCGTTGTTCCTTAATCTTCGAATTGGATCCGGATTATTATTTTTTGCAGACTTTTAGAGCAATTTTATAAAAGTAAGCTTGAACTTTGGATTATGTCAAATAGAATTTTCGATATATATTTACTAATATGTAAAGGATATACAAAGCGAAAGTATCTTTTGGAGTCCATTACACAAAAAGTGGAATTGCTGCAAAAAATGGATAAAGGCATATATTTTGTTTATCTAAACTTTAACGCTTGTTTATCTAAACTTTAACGTTTGTTTATCTAAACTTTGTTTATCTTTAACGCGGCGTGCAATGAATTCACTATCCTTATCTTTAAGGACAGATGTTTTTATTTTATTTGGCTTATAATTGCTTACTCTATGTAGTATTTCATCTCGATGTACTCCATCTTTGATATGATTTAAATCAAATGCCTCGTCATTATAATTCGCTTCCGATAGCGAAGAAAATGACAGAGGTTATTGAAAACAAACAAATTTCGATTGACAAATTAGTCGGTATTCTCGACACAGCAATTATGGTACGTGAACAGCGGAACTTTGTAACTGAACAAGAAATTATGTCTGTTTATAGAATTAAAGAGAATGTATTATCACATAAAAAACGAATCAACTTAAACAACTTACATTGAAAGAAATGTTTAATAAAGTAAACAAATAAATATTAAGCTTTTTTTTTTTTTTTTTTGTAAATTTTGATACCCTTTAGACCATAATTGTTCTTTATTTCGTAAATTACGGTTTTATATTTTTAATTTTATAATTTCTGCATGCCATTTTACCAGATTTAAACTGATGATCTATAATCCGGAAAAATCGATAATCCGGAATCGCCGAAGTCCCGACGAGTCCGGATTAACGACTTTTGACTGTATACAATTTGTGCAAACCTGGCTATTAAAAGTGTGATGGTACTTAATCCTATGATAGACTGAAATAATTTCAGTTGGTGATATACTGTCCTGTTCTTCTGAAGATTACTTCATGAAAAAGTTTGAAACTGATTGCGAAGAATCCCTATTCAATATTAACGACTGGTGTTTCTTGCTTTAGGAATGTACAGTTAAATCCAGCACATCCTCGTATTTAATATTAACTGTATTTAATACTTTACATTCTTTACTTTACAAAGTTGTCTCTCTTTATAAGCTAATCAAATTCAGATAACCACCTGTCTTGAAAAGACATCGAATATTTTGTCTTTTTTTTTTTTTTTTTTTTTTTTTTTTTTTTTTTTTTGTGGTATTTGTTCACTTGCAGAATCAGAATTGTTTTCTTCACTACACATATGAAAGCATTTAAATAATTTCAAAATACGCACTTGTTTGTGAATAGTTAGCTAACTGCAGACTAAATAAAAGAATGGAGTGAAAATGAGAGGGTGAGGGGAGATGAGGTTGCGTGCACGTAACTCACCGGCATGAAACCACGAGTCGTCCCATAAGACGCTTACTTACCGCAGATCGCTGCTGTAAAGAATATGTATTGATATAGACATTCTTTAGCTGCTGTGCGCGGTCGTGTGATTTTCGTTGCTCTCAACCATTTCGTTCGTGCACATTGTGTCGTTATTTCCGATAAACTTGATATTCCTGGAGAGTAATATTTATTTTAAATTCCTTCCAGGAGCTGAGAGATTTTAATTTTCAGGACTCATTTCCGGGAGGATCCCGGAATTCCAGGTGAGGTGAGAACCATAGTTATAGCTAATATAGTAGTCAATTACATTTATTCAAATTAAATATAAATGACCAAGATAAAATTTTATTCAATGTTAAATTCGCGTGCTCCTGTATTTTTGCTTTTCCTGAGTAGCTTTCTCTTAAAATGTGCTGCATTGCACAGGGAAATAAAACAATTTTAATTACAATTCTACTAAGAAGATCTAACTAAATACAAAATTCGTAACACTGTTCCCTTTCCAAGGACAGCATGTCCTGGGCAGTACAATCCCTGGACAGGAAAGCATATTTACAACTAAAGCATCAATGTACCATAATTTCCGGAAGAAAGGCCACATCAGCGTAAACGCCGCACGAGAAAAATGGCGGGAAAAAAATTAAAATTACACAGAAACGCCGCATCAGCGTAAACGTCGCAATAGATTAAATTGCGCGTGACATCGTTGTGGGCCGTATAGATGCAAAAACTCAACCCAAGTCCTGATATATGACATACCAGTTAAGAAAAATGCATGAAAATAAAACCATAACTCAAAAATAAAGAATATAAGAATAAGGTAAGAAATGTATAGCTTCTGTGCCGTTTAGAGACATTTTCAAAAATTTTCCGCTCCCTTCTTACTTAAAAACTATCCAACAAGTACTTGTACCCAAACTGATGGGATCTGTATTTGGCAGAATGCCAAGAAAAATCCATTCATGCTGAAGAGGAAATACGTCAGAGTTCGTTATTGCGAGGCAGGTGGAGTCGTGTCCGCCTTTGAAAAAAATTGCAGAAAAGGCAGGGGTGGGGAGAGGATGGGTCCTGGAAGATTCATCGAATGGCAGAGGAGAGAGACTATTCAAACTGATGAGAATGTTGATTTGAAAGGGGGAAGAATGTTATTGTTCTGAGATCTCGTTTAAGGTCAATAAGGCATGTAGGTCCGTTCAAGGTAAAGAATGTAAACAAAATAATGTTCGCAAAAAAGCAACTGAGTGGTCTTTTGTGTGGGAACAGCACCAGTCTATGCACAATGAAAAGGCCATCCAAACTATGTACAATGACCATCATAGGAAATATTTTATTTTTAGTGCACCTAAACGCCGCACCCGCTGAAAATTTAAGTTTTAAACACGTAAACGCCGCACCGTTTCTTCCGGAAATTACGGTAATGATAAGCATTACAATATAATAACAAACAATATAAACAGTAATTGCATTAAGTAATTTAAAACAAATCAAATACTCAATCAATAAATGTGTGCACAAGTTTACAAATTTAGAAACAAACAGGACCATGGTCTTATACTATTTACATTATACACACTACATACTATAGCCATAGTAAGAAGCTAGCCTGTCGCAATGAAGGACTTGCAGAATTACAGACTTACGGAGGCTTAGAGCTCGATGACTTCCAAATCTGAACTACAACATCGTTCAGCCTGTTTAGGACTGTGTAAGGACCATCATAAGCTGACTGTAGTTTAGGACAGAAACCATTCCACAACCACACCTTGCCTTTTTCGTTGAATCGATGTCCAGTAGCTCTCATGTCGTATCGGGTTTTCATCTTCTCCGTTGCAAAGTTGACTCACTCTCGTGCAAAACTGTGCATCACTTCAAATGGTGCCTGGAGATCTTGGATGTACTTTTCAGGCGAAGAAGGCGCATCCGGAGGGCGACCAAACAAGAGATCACAAGGCATATAAAGGCCACGATCGAAGAGCATCTGGGATGGGGAATAGCCAGTAATCAGTAGACAGTACTGAAATAAGCCACTAAAAACAGTCCCAGTCCTGTTGGTTCCTGGAAACCACCAATGAGAGGTTATAAATGATGGTTCGATTAACCATGCCATTTGACTGACTGTACCATGCCGTCTGACTGAGGATGTAAAGGTGTCATTTGGGTTTTCTCAATTCCGAGTAGCTTGAAGAGTTCTTTGATTACAGCCGAGGTAAAATTCCTTCCTTGATTGGAATGTAACTTGCGGGGCCCTCCGAACCTGGAAATCCAGTGCATTACCTCTGCTAATGTAACAGCCTCTTGATCAGGAATAGGATATGCTTCTGGCTACTTGGTGAAGTATTCAATGACAACGAGGATGTATTTGTTGCCATCAGCAGTTCGTAGCAGAGTTCCAAAGATGTCAAAGGCGATAGATTCAAAAGGCACTCCTACGTTGTAATGTTGCAGCTAGCCTCGGCTGTGTTTCTTCGGACCTTTCCGACCCGCACAGACATCGCAAGATTGGCACCAATTTTGTCTGTCGTCTTTCGCATTACTCGAATAGTAGCGCTCTTGAACATTTTGAAAATCCTTCATTATTCTGAAGTGGCCTCCTCTAGGGCTGCTATGTAAGTCGTTTGGGATCTTGGAAGTATCACCTGCCATGGAATGCCTTTCCATCATCCGATTTGAAGTTCGGGTACAAAGATTCCGTTTCGAACATGGAGTGAGTCCCAGAAAGCCCAGTGCTGTTTTGTC